GGCCCCGAGTATCCGGTACCGAGTGATCGGTGATCGCTCCCAAAAGAACCCGGATGACTTTAGGTACATATTCGCCTGCGAAGACAAGACAATGCTTAGTAGTCGTTCGGGGGGTGACCAGCATAAGGAATATCACGAAATGTTCACCCTCCAATTTTTGTTCAAGTGGCGTGATCTGCATCTGCTGAGCGCACTTTTTTCGATCGTAAACAAGCCCGCACAGGGTTCGATACCACAGATGGGTGCTTCAGCGGTATCGGGTTCAAAATCATAAAAGCCACGATCGTGCTGCTGCTGCAACACATCATAGACAACAAACTGAGGGAGGACTGCGAGGGATGTACAACGGACCATCCGAGCCAGCTGCAACATTCCTGTCTGTTTGAGCCTGCCGCATACTATTTCGACTCACGCTTCGACGAGCTGTCCCGCAAACTGTTCAAACCCGATCTTCAGACCATTATCGACTTCACTCTACGCCGCTGTGGCTTAATGACCAACAACAATCTGAGGATTCAAGGAACTACCGGCGCTATCCTGCATGAATTAAGAGACGAACCATTCATTGTAGCAAAACTACAAGAAATCAGGGAAAAGCTGCTGGACGAGTCCTACAAGAAAGTCGTTTACGACGCCGTGGATCTCTGGCAAAGCAGTGTGTCTGCCCCCGGGGTGTGATCGTGACAACATGGGATCTGTGTGTAGCGGGAAGAATTTTTTCAGAGACGTCGTGTTTATCCCGTGTTATAAAGAGCAGATGATCGAAATGATACTCACGGTTATCGAGCACGCATGTGATCCTGAGAAAGATTACGAGGGGCAAACGAACCGTATAAAAAATCTCAAGAAACAAATGGACGTTATGAGAAGAGCTACGTATAAATGGGATGTATTGATCGACATGTGTGTCAACAGAACCGATACACCCGCTGTAATGCTCAGAAAAATTCTAGATGAGATATCAGCTGCCGGTCGAGGGTTAGGAGTTGGCGAGGTACTATGTATGTGTACATATGTAACTGATGTATGTGTGAAGCTTGTTTCAAAAAATGAGAAAAACAAGATCTGTGAAATGGTTGAAATTCTGGTCGACTACATACTAGATCGGGGGTATATGTCATGTGTAAATTGTCTTTACTGGTTAGAGAGTCTGTAACGTCATTCTATCAGTTTTTATCATTACTCATATCATACATTCATTATGTAAACATTTTTTAATTCTATTCTTATACCGGTACTATGTAAACATTTTTAATTTTATTCTTGTCATTATGTAACCAATTTGAATTTTATTCTTGTCATTATGTATCAGATTTGAATTTTATTCTTGTCATTATGTGTCCGATTTGAAAAAAAAAAAAAAAACTATTCTTGTCACTAACTCTATATTTTTTAATAAAAGACCGAAACATGGCTCTTGTACGTGTTATTCTTTTGTAGAGGGTCGAAACGTTGACATGTCCGAGCTCATGAAAAAAGTTTATTACACTCCAGACAACCCCGGTTTTTTAGGAGGTAAAAAACGGTTAAAAGATGCTGTCTTAAAGGATACCGGAGTCCGTCTGAGCGATAAACAGGTCTCAGACTGGTTGGCCGGGGAGGATGCATACACACTACACAGATCAGCCCCTATAAACTACAAACGTAATAGAGTCGTGGTGTATGGGGTGGATACACAGTTCCAAGCGGATCTAGTCGACACGTCGGCATACTCCAAGGAAAATGATAATAATAAATATTTGCTGACCTGTATTGACGTATTTAGCAAGTATGCCTGGGCATGAGCGCTAAAGAATAAGAGCGGTGTCGAAGTTACTAAAGCGTTCAAATCTATGCTCGAAGAGGGTCGCGTTCCAAAGAAATTGCAGATGGATAGGGGCACGGAATTTTTTAACAAACATTTTCAAGATTTAATGAAAAAGCACAATGTTCATCATTTTGCTACGGCTACTGATCTGAAGGCCAGCGTCGTAGAGCGATTTAATAGAACATTAAAAAGCCGAATGTGGAGATTTTTTATCCGCCACAAATTCACGGAGGTACATAGATGTTTTGCAAGCATATCTAGTTATACGACCAGGTTAGCGAAAACTATAAACCTGAAAGGAGAATGGCAAGTAGGTCTTGCCGAGATTGAATATCCTAGAAGCTGGTACACCCTTAAAGACGGCGATGGGGTTTTCAGCATACATGTCTTACCAGTACCATCTCAGAAACATGCGAATAAACCAGTTGCAACCGTGTTTAAAGAGTTATCAGGGGTTTCCGTATCAAGGAAGCTCCAAATAAGCGGTGGGTACTACGAGAATGTTCGAGCCGTGATCAATGCAATAACTGCACTTATTGCACCAGCAGCTGTAATAGGTTATGAACGAATAAAAAACAAGGTCTGTACGTCCCCGGTTTAAGATGCATACATATAACGAGAGGAGACAATGATACCGTCAGTGTTAGATATGACAAACCCCATTACGCATCGGTCAACAAGTCGCTCATCACGGACTTAGCCGTAGAATTAAAGGAGACACCAAAACCGCGAAATTCCATTTTCTTACGGGAAAGTCATTGTAAAACTACACTTTAGGCCAGTGAAACAATCTGTGTTTTAAAAATGGATTATTGCAACCCACGAGGGATGAACACCGCTGACTATGTCGACTATTATCAAAACAGGAGGACTTTTCAGAGGTCTGTTTAGGATGGCAGTGCCATTGTTAAAAAGGGGGTTCAGCATCGCTAAACCGCGCCTAAAACCGGCCGCTAAAAATATAGCAGCCGACGTCGTGTCAAACGCTCTGGCAAGATCATATAACGGTGATCCTAAAGCTCAAGGCGGTTCGGGGCTTATGGTCATGGCTCGTAAGAGAATGTCTAAACCTCCGGGTATAAGGAGGCGTGGTAATTCAATAAAGAAAACAAAGCCCAGGGCCAAGAAGGTCTCAGTCACACGTAGAAAGCATAAGAAGGCTGTGAAGCGGCACGTTGCTGTTAAAAGACCTGTAAAAACCATATTCTAGCATGGCGTTACTGCACCGCATGTCGGGAGAGTGTACTAAGTCCGAGTTGGATTTGTTTACAGTCCCGCTGACGCAGACGGTTATAGAGAAAAATGCTTATTTAGAAGTACCGCCTTTATCGGCTATATCGGACTCGTCGCCTTTGGAGTTTTTATCGCGGGGACAGGCGAAGATTACATCGACCTAAATAACACGTTGTTGTTTCTATGTCTTAAAATCACAAGACCTAATGGGGGCGACATCCCAGACCCCGCAAAGGTAGCCCTAATAAATTACCCCGGAGCTACTATATTTTCACAAGTCGACGTCAGTCTCGGTGATCGCATGATATCTCAGAGCTCGAGCACTTACCCCTACCGATGCATAATCGAGAGTCTTATCAACTACAGCAAAGATGCGCTGGAATCGCTTTTCTAAGCCGGTCTGTTTTTCAAAGACACGGCGGGTCACATGGA